TAAGCAAAATACACAGCTAATATCGAAGGTTCTTGCAACGTTGCAGATACTTTGTATTTTGGTTGGCGGATGTGTGACGTTTTGGTACTATAAGTTATTGTTACAATTCAATTAACTATTTTCCTGACACCAAACTGACCACTCTTCCACAAATTTTCACAATTTTATGGCAACTTTGCGACGGGTTGGAGCTGAAAAATTCAGCACTGGTCAAATAATATCGGAATATTTTTTCTTCGCTTAAAATTATACAGGGTCCGGCAGAAATACCTCCCACATTTTAAAGATTAACAAAAACAACAAGGTAACTGCTATAAAAAAAAATTAATTTCACTGTTGTTTAAAGAAAAAGCTACAGTTTTTATTCATTTTGTTTTAAAAATGATATCTTCCAAATGATGGCCTCTATTCACCAAACATTGCAGTAGACTATTTGGGCAACATTGCAAGCTTGTCTCGCTAGATCAGTTACGACTAAAAAGTGAGTTCGATCCTCACTAGGTGCCCCATCATACGGCCTTGTGTCACTGTGAACCTGTGACCCTGAAATTTTTAACTCATCTCAGTATCGATTTTTCATCGGGAAGAGATTCATTCTTATGTAACATGAAAGGAACACGAAAAGCGCTCCGTTTTACAATTACAGATTCGCCAGTCTTACAAAAACGTTTCAACAGCAAACGCACTGTATGCACTGGTTCAAGCCATAATGGTAGCTGATGGTATCGGTTGGGAAGACATAAGCTAAATGAAGACACCATTGCCACTTGCCTAACTTTGCTAGCATTAGACTGGTTACAGCTTGAAATGTGGGAAGGTTTTGCTGCACCCTGTATATTGAAATGTAAAAGATATTTTTGCTGCAACCGGTATATTGAAATGTGGGGGGTATTTTTTGCTGCAACTGGTATATTGAAATGTGGGAGGTATTTTTTGCTGCAACTGGTATATTGAAATGTGGGAGGTATTTTTTGCTGCAACCGGTATATTGAAATGTGGTAGGTATTTTTGCTGCACCCGGTATATTGAAATGTGGGAGGTATTTTTGCTGCAACCGGTATATTGAAATGTGGAAGGTATTTTTTGCTGCAACCGGTATATTGAAATGTGGGAGGTATTTTTGCTGCAACCGGTATATTGAAATGTGGGAGGTATTTTTGCTGCAACCGGTATATTGAAATGTGGGAGGTATTTTTGCTGCAACCGGTATATTGAAATGTGGAAGGTATTTTTGCTGCAACCGGTATATTGAAATGTGGGGGGTATTTTTTGCTGCATTCTTATTATTTTCGTACTTTGTTTACTAATTTACATAATGAATGCACTTTCTAGCATTTTCCAGGAGTTTATTATTTATTTTCTGTTTAAGTTAACCTTACGAAGCAACGTATTTGTAATGTTAAACATACCATAGCTGGTACGTTGTCGAGATTCCACAAAACATGTTTTGCAACCTCTATCTCGCTAGCCTCTTGCAATTCTATCGCTATTTCTATGGCAGATGTTCGGGTGGACCAAATTTCTTGGTTCTACCAATCCAAACCTTCACGGCTAGGACTTGGCATTTTACGTACAGTAAATCAACCCTTTATATTCCATTTGTAAGGAGGAAGTTCAACTCAGCTTCTTCCCCAGCATTGTTGCAATGCGGAGTGGACTCCGTAGAGAATTATTTCCTGATCACTACAATCTTAACCTTTTCAAATCTAGTCTCAGCTGTTATCTATGCTAAATATGCTCATAATATGCAACCCTTGCTCCCTCACTATACGACCTTAAAACATTCTGTTGTTTGGGAATAAAGCATCGCTGCCGACACTTGAATTTGAACAGACTGCCAGTGAGCAAACACATGCGATCCCATTATTGAATTAAGTAGACCACGTGACCATAGAGGAAACGCATATATGTATGAAGTAGCTGACGACTAACAATCGCTATTTCTATTCTATCCTCTATTAGTATACGGATCACCATTTCTAGTCTATCCTTTATTACTACACGGACCACTATTCTCGACTCCCTATACTATTTCTCTATTCCAATCACTATACGGATAACTGCCCGAGCGAGTATTATCGAGCAAGTACTATTAGTGCAAGATCATTCGAAGGCGTCTGACACCAATATTGTTCAATGGCGTTACTATTGTTGTATCTGCAATTACAAAGTCTCTACTACAACGAACATTACGAAAGTGACAACGAGTATTCGTTGATATTACAAAAGTGGCAACGAGTGTTCGTTGACATCACCAAAGTGACAACGGGTGTTCGCTGAAATCACAAAACATTTTCATTTAATAACACTATTTTGAGTGGCTCTTAGGCCTTCTATTTAGAGAAAAATAGTAAAAATATAAGGACGAAAAAGGTAGCAACGTCATTCGTTACCTAACGATTAGAAACGACTAAAAAGACGTCTATAGTTTTGATTAATGTATTCGTTTTATTACGGTTTATCAACACATTGCGGGTTATTTAAAGCTGAAACATATTTTGGATTGTAAGAATAGTTTTTTTTTCAGTTTTTGAGTTCAATCCATGGGCCAGGCAGTGTATACTTGAACACAGTGGAAACAGGACTGGCATTAACTGAGCAGTAGTAAAAATAAAAAAGATGAGATATCACTAGACTTGGGCAATTGCACGAGAACAGAAAACACTCGTAGATTAAATAAAGGGCTCAATTCGCAATTTCTTACATGAAATACAGCACGACGGTCTAAGCCATTGTGATATCAATAACAAAGATAAGGACAACAGTCCGCGGGTAAACAGTATAAACAATTTATGACTCCTCATTTTAGAAATTCAGACGGAAAAATCAATGAAGAAGAGCACAACTGTCGAAACGTTATGATAACAACAACAAAGATGAGGACAATAGTCCGCATGTAAATAGTGTAAATAATGATAACTCCTCATCCCAGAAATTCAGACAGAAGGCGATCAGGTGATAATAACAACAAAGATGAGGACAATAGTTCGCATGTAAACAATGTAAATCAGTGCTTCTTAAACTATCTGATATGACGGACCTGCATTTTTTCTCAATGTGTCACGTACCTGTAATATTTCGTGGTAATATTAATTTATACCGGAAACGATATATATAATGAATATAATAAAAGTTGACTATTTTTTTTCATCTTCCATTCACCTAAATCCACATTATTATTATTATATTAGAGCTAAATAGACTATTTCGAAAAATACCAGATTAAATAATTTATTTCAGATTGCACCAAATATTTGAAGTTTCAGTAAAAGTTGTACCGATTGTACGAAAACCTTCATTTGAAAGCAAAAAGTACCAAGTTTGGTATGAAAGTACAAATTATGACGGCCCTGCTTCTGGCGGTGTACCGTTTGGCTGGTATCTACCAATTCTTCAAATGATTCCTTGGTATGGCCTGGAGGGCGGGCGCGTACCGGTAGCCGATGGTTCGCGTACCGGCACTGGTGTAAATAATTGATAACTCTTCTTTCGTTAGTCCAATGCGTGTTCGGATTTCGGAGCCACATTTTCTATCCTCTGTTTATTATCCCAGATATTTAAACTCCGGTACGTTGTCTGGGGGGGAGGTAAGAGAGTGAATGAACTTGTTGAGAGCTGCAAAGGATAGAGGGAGGTGGAGAGCCATGATCGCCTGCATCCTGAAAGGACATGGCACATAAAAAGAAAGGACTTGCTTGATGTTGACATCTCCTGTTTGTAATCCTTGGTTTTTTTGTTTTGCCGGTCACCATAATTTTTATCTTCCTATCGTCGATGGTTAGTGCTTGTTATCTTGTTTTCTTTGTCTACATGTCTAGGAGGTCATGTAGGATACAGTATTTAGTTTCTGTAATCTGTGCTAAAAGAATAAAGGTCTAATTACGGTGTGCCTTACAAGATCTCATGAATGCAGTCATTAATACAAAAATCCTTTATCTGATTACTCTAGCCCTGTGGTTCCCATATATTTTTTCTCTCGGCCACATTTTCAGAATTAAAATTTTCTCGCTACTCACCAAATTTTATGTAATAAAAAATACATTTTAATATATATATATTTATCCTCTCTCTCTATATATATATATATATAAGAGAGAGAGAGAGAGAGAGAGAGAGAGAGAGAGAGAGAGAGAGAGAGAGAGAGATATAAACCGCGGGTTCTCGCGTCTCAACAAATTTTATGTAATAAAAATACATTTTAATATATATATATATATATATATATATATAGAGAGAGAGAGAGAGAGATAGGGGGGATTGAAGGGAGATAACTGCGGGTTCAAAGTCAGAACGTTAGCATTGATAACTCTCCCCTTCAATTTGCAGACCCTAGTTAGTATATTCTTAATACTTGATGTAATGCAAAAATATCACAGTGATAAAATCAGTCAATAATTATTTATAATGGGACTCACGCATGCAATTACAAGTAAGCCATAATAAAATTTAAAATTTTTAAATTACATTTATTTTTGGCATATGATTTTTTAAAAAACTATTCTCTAAATCTTTGTCTTTGAATAATTCCATCTCACCTGCTATCCTCTTCGGCAGTACCTATGAATCACGACACATCCGCTTGGAGACCTACTGCTCTAGTCTGATTGTCCGGGATTTGATTAATTTGTTCTGTATTTCAGGTACCCAAAAGGATCCTAGTGATTCAATGAATCAACAATACTATAAACTGGCGATGCACATTGCAATCTATCCAACATCTGTTTGTTTCCGCATTTCTATCTGGAGAAATACCATCCGTATTACCGTTTCTTCAGACGTTGTTGGCAGAATAAAATCTGGTTATGACTGTCGTGTTCAGTGGAGCTGACAGAAGAATTGAGTGGGTATTTTGAGTGACAGACCGAGTCGTACATGGCTTTCGTTACTTCTTGTCTTTTATTACGAACATTGTTCGTGTGGCGGATTTAAAAAAAAAAAAAAAAATCTTGATGCTCCTTCTAACCTCATCAACTTCGTGTTTTTTTTTTTTCGTTTTTTTGATGTCCTTTTTTCTTTTCTTTTCTTCTTGGTTGTATATTCACGTCTGCTTTTCTTCATGTTTGTTTCTATATTCCTGTCTTCTTTTCTTCTTCCTTTTTCCTTCTTTGGTTGTCTCTCCTCTTTACTTTCCCTTTCAACTCGTTTTCTTATAGTTTTTTCTTTCTTCTTCCCTATTTTTTCTTTCTCTCATTGTATTCATTTCTGTTTTCTCTTACATTTTTTTATTTTATATTTATTTCTTTTTTTCTCTCTTTATGTCCCTCCCTCCCTCCCTCCCTATTAAGACAATCTTTTTGTTTCTGTTTTATTTTCCATTCTTTTTTCTTCCTTTTTCTTTTCGTTTCACACCGGTTCTTGTTCCATCACGATAACTTAACAGCCTCGTGCCCGGTCATTATTAGATGAAATGACACTGTTGAAAAAAAAACAGGATACGAAACAATCCACGATTTTTGATAGTTTTTTTTTTTTTTTTAAGATCTTCAAAGATACATTAAATCTTCAGGGTCTGAATGTCAATAAGAAAACACATTCTGTTCTTTTTTTGTCTTTGATCACGATGTCGAATTATCTTTGATTGTTCCGCTATGGGTCTGGGTGATATTCATACCAGTTTATTGCAGTTTCCTTCCCTCAAAAGTTGCAGCTTTTCCAGTGCCGATATTGGTCCATGTTATTCAAAAAAGTTTTATATTCAAAATTTGCTAGCACTCTACAACCTGAAAAAAGATGGTCAATTGTTTCTGGATATTTATCACAGAATCTGCATTTGTGGTTTTTAATAATTTTTTCAATATGTAATTTGATAATTTCTAGTCAGCAATCACGGTCCTGTGCAAAAAAGAATAAAACCGTCAATTTTCAGCTTTAACCCAACGCTATGTAAAAGATGGGTACGAGGTTTGTCTACACCAACTTGTTTGACGGACAGACATTGACCATGAAGAGGCTTATCTTGGGATCCATTTTCTGCATGTGTTACATTGCATTTGCTTTTGCGTTCATTTTTTTTTAGGTTCTTTGCGACTGCCAGGTGTGTTTTTGCGTTTATTTGCATTTTTTCACCCAATTAAAAAAATTTGTTGGCTTCCTTTATTACTGAATAAAATTTCTTATTTCTTCCATGTTCGTTGAAACGGACAAAGTATTCATCTGTAATTTCTAAACATCTTAACATCAATTGTTTTTTTTGTAAGACAGTTCTAGTTAAACTAATCCTCTGCCTCCTTCGGAACTGATGAAACCAGACGATCAATATCGACCTTGAGATGACGCATTACTAAGCAAGTGAGAAATTTCTCGCTTTTAAAAGCATTCTCTAGAATTATATATGCCCAATTAAGAATGTTGAAATCTATTTTGCCACAAGGCAAAACAAAAAAAAAAAATGTTATGATATATTTTTTCAATTAAATATTGTATTTTATAGCTGAACAACCTTAATAATTTTAATAATAATAATAATAATTCGACATCCAGAAATTTCATCATCTCTTTATCTTCACTTCTTTTTCTTCCTTCAGGTAGTTTTTTTTTTCCAATTTATTTTCTACCTTAAAAATTTTTCATCTATCCTTTATTTTTCCTTCACGTTATTTTTTGAAAATCTTCAATTTCTTCTTCTCCTATGACGGATTGTGATTTCTTCCTCCTCATTTCTTCACTACTTTTCCTCTCCTACTCATCATCACTCCTCTCTATATTCACGTTTCCTTTTCTTTTTCTCTAGATTCATCTCTTTTTTTCCTTCTTTACATTCGTCTTCTTCTTCAAGCCAAATATTCACGTTTTATTTTCTTCTTCTTTTACTTCGTCTCTTTATTCACGTCTCCATCTATATTCACGTCTTCTTTTCTTCTCCTTCGTCTATATATTCACGTTTTCTTTTGGTTTACGAAAGGATCATTTTCTAACTTCGTCTATATATCCATTTTTTTTTTTCTTCCTGTTCTTCGTCTCGATACTCATGTCTTTTTTTTCTTCCTGTTCTTCGTCTCGATACTGATGTCTTCTTTTCTTCTTGTTCTTCTTCCTTTCTATATTCATATCTTCTTTGATTGTCTATATTCATGTCTTTTTCTTCTTCTCTGGCATCATTTTTCTTTCTCTCCTTCTTCATATTCATTTGATCCTGTTTTGCTCTCTTTCACGTTTTCTCTTCAGTTCAACTGAGCATTCTTCATTAATAAACAAATTCACAACTGAATGTTAGCCCAAATTCTGGGAAATGAATAAAAATGAAAAGCGGGCACCAACTAAAGACAGTAAGGATTTTTTTTCTGATCACTAATCCAAAAGAGAGCCAGTGTGCAAACAGGAAGGAAAAGGCCATTTTAAAGAAAACTGTAGAAACTAATTATTAAGACAAGTAAGTTTGTTTCATTGTCAAATTTCACGGAATTTGGGTACCACCTTGTATGTTAGGAATTTATTTTCAACATCCATATCGATAACTAAACAGCCTAAAATTTTGTTCATTATTGGATCAAATGACACTGTTGGAGTCATACATTGAAATTGACGATCACCACGATCGTATATATATGTTACCTTGAATAGATAGAGGTTCGGAGTGAGAAATCGGGGAGCAGAGTTCGAATTCCAGTCATGTTCGATACATTCCCTTACGTGCAATTATCCTTGGGAAAGGTACGAATCTATCTCTTCTCCCTCCGCTATGGATTAAATAGCAGGACAGATCGGGAGCGGTATGAATCCGTGTCCTCCCCCTCTACAGGTTAAATAGTAAGAATTGTGTCTGATTCATGTTATTCTCAAAAAAATATTAATTCAAAATTTGCTCTCTCTCTCTCTCCCTGAAAAAAGTAATATAGATAAAATGAATTATCCTTACAAAGTATGTTTAAGCTTTTAATAACTCACAAAGTTTTGATAACCCGTAAAAAATCCAAATTAATCACGATCGTACAGATCGAGGAATACTGAGCAATTTTCTCAAAGAGAAGTAAATAAATAAAATCTTAAAACAGAATAATTTGTCTCCAATTTCATTTCTATCTGTCCTTAAGTAGGACGATTCGACAGACAGAAACAAATAACTGGGACTCCATCTTCCTTCGTCATTACGCGACGATAAATAGTCTGCCCACTTGATACAGGGGTTTGACAAATGTTCGCTGTATTGTTGCGTTGACAGTTTCATTTCCGGGCCGTTTAAGAAAATTAGTCGGACACAAGAAATAATGCATGAGTTCAAGTCAGTATTCGTCTTAGAACAAAGCCTTGCAGCAAATCTAAACAAGATACCATGGTTAGCTTTTATTGCAAAGTTGGATAATAGAGTTGAATCGTTTCTGAGTTAGACTGCGTAACAGATGAAACCAGAGTAAGATAGTAATACTTTCTTGTCAGTGAAGACTAAGTAGGTTGAGAAATATGAAAATAATCAAAAAGCTGAATAGAATTATATATTCGGCTGTCCGGAAAGTTCATACCGATTTTTAAGCGAAATTAAAACAAAAAAAAAAAAATGTTATTAAATAATTATTCAACTAAATATTAACCATTTCGCTGAACAACCTTTCTCCATTTTACTTTCAACTTAAAAATTCCCTCTTCCCAGAATTTCCATGGTTTCCCGGTAAATAACTCATTAAGGTGTTTTTTGTTTATGTCATCCAAAGAATTAAAAATTTTACCATTGAGATTATTTTTCAAAGACGTGAATAAATGAAAATCTGAAGGAGCAATGTCTGGTGAATATGACGGATTGTGGTAACACATCTCTGCCAAACTGCAACAATTTTTGCCGGGTCACCAAAGAACGTGTGTTCTGGCATTATCCCGATGGAAAACAACACGTTTCCTGTTCGCCAACTCTGGGCGTTTTTCTTGAATTGCTGACTTTAATTCGTTCAGTTGCAAGCAGTACTTTTCAGAATCAACTACATGGTTACTTGGAAGAAGTTCATAGTACATGATTCCTTTCCAATCACAGCAGATGTACAACATGACTTTCTTAGGATGAAGACCAAATTTTGGCGTGGCTAAAGTTGGTTTACGAAAGGATAATTTTTGCTGAACATTGTTGTAAACGATCCATTTTTCATCAGCCGTCACAATTTGCTTAAAAATGGCGCATTTTCATTGAGTTTATACAGAAAATCACAGAATCAGCAGATTCTTTTCAATCAGATCATCTGGTGGGCAAACATCGTAGTGATTTGAGTCCCTAAAAAATCACACTAAATGCTCATGGATGGTGTGTTTTGATAAATTTAGTGTTTCTGCCAATTTTTGTGTTGTGTAATGCAGGTTATTTTCAATCAATATCTTGATTTCTTCGTCATCTGCTCTGAGGGGGGTTTGTCTGAGCGTTCTTCATGAATAAGGCTACAATAAACAACTCTAAACTTAGCTAACCACTTCCGTACAGTTCTGTCAGATAAAGTACCTTCATCGTACACGGTGATGCATTTTTACCTTTACGGTAATAAAAAAAAATCAAGTGTCTAAAATGCACCTTATAATCTTCCATTTTCATAGGGATGCAAAATTGACATAAATTAAGTAATTTTAAACTTTCTTTCTCAAGGAATTGTTTGAAGTGTACCCTAATCGGAAATGTAAGCATGTTATATATATATCAATCGATACATTTGACGTGTTCTAATTTGTTGGAATATGATCCATTAAAAATAGGCATAAACTTTCCTGACAACCCTATATATATGTTACCTTCAGAATCTCGACTCCAGAGTTTCGTGGATGGACACATTCGCCCACTTGCCAGAGGGTATCAGAAATGAAAGTGGGCATTGATGCCAACACCCATCGCCGATCGATTGTTTCATATTTATAGGCAGTCATGAGACTGTCGCGGCGGGGTGTTGACTTCAATGTCCACTTTTATATTTATATACTCTCTATTCCTGATATTGATCCATAACCATAGCATACCTTAAAACTATATTTATCATATATATATATATATATATATATATATATATATATATAGGTAACTATACTTTTCTGTCAAATCTTTAAATTTTTGATTTGCCAATAATGAAATCAACCTCAAAGGAAAAAAAGGTTTTAAAAAAAGAAAGAGCCATGAACATGAAAGTCTGTCGAAAAAATCGCACAGATACAGGTTCAAAGCCCAAAGAAAAAAAATCCGACACGAGAAACAAATTACCTTTCCCTGACGATCCGCTTAGGTGAAACCTGGGTAGGTTTGTTTACTCACTAGGTTTGACTATATATATATATATATATATATATATATATATATATATATATATAAATTGAGCGCTGGTGCTAATAAAATAGTACTCAATGTATAATAACAGAACTATAATTTATATAAATAATACAAAAATTGATAGAAAAACTGTGACTTTGATGCACAATGCAATCGTCAGGTGCTGAGTGAAAAATGAAGATAGAGGTATGTATATATGTGTGTGTGTGTGATAGAAATTATTAGGAGGATTTGATAATTATAATTTAGTAATTCATCGAGTCTGAGAAACCTAAACAGAATGCAGAAAGCAATGGACGGCTGTTTCGTTCTATATTTGGGATTCATCAGCAGGGCGCATCCACTACCGAGAATTGAAACCCTATATATCTACTTAAGTATATATATCATTATTAAGAAGAAATACCAAAGTATTTATGGTTATTTTTTTTTATTTTTTTACTCATTTTTAGCATGTCCAAAATTTTAGTTAAAAATCTTGTTTTCTTTTTGTCAGCGAAATTACTAAAAAAACTCGATATCAGCCATTTTTTAAAATTTTGTAAACTAAGTTAAAATCCTAGTTTAAAATTCTTCCTAAAATCAATTATACGTTTTTCAAAATTTATTTGACGAAAATTAGCAAATTTAAAGATTATTTAATATATTTTGAAGAAAGCTCTTGCTTACTTTCTTCGAAGAAAACTGTTTATTTTAAACAGGAGGCGATCTTAACATCGTTGGCTATTGACAAGTGATAAATGATTGCTGTCATCACATATCGACAGCTAACGTGAGATTAGAGTTATCATACGGAAGGACGTAATTGACGTAACATTTTTTTACATGAACTAGCTTATGTAGTACCTCGTAATTATTAAAGTAAAAAAAGAAAAACAACCTTTCAGCATTCCAATTTCTTTTTTTTTTTTTATTACTGTAACTTACACCATAAGTTTGTTGATACTATCTGTAGAAATTATAAATACTAATAAATAAATAAATTAAAATACAGGTGCTGTACAGCTTTTTGAGGGCAACTATAGCCCCCTAAAGTCAATACAGATCTGCTATGATAAAACATTTCTATCTCAAGTAAAAATCATCACAAACATATCAAAAGTTATTTTGTTACACTACAGGCAATTTGAACTGAAAAAAAAATTGAAAAATGACTTTTGTCATCATCTGAACAAAATATCAAGGAAACTTTTGATCTGCACCCCATGAAACTAGGTATTTCCTGAAAGCAAAAAATGCTCTTTCATTTCTAAGTGAAATTGGTTGGTGTAAATGATTATAAAAATTTTTTCTGGGGATAAAATAGTTAAAATTGCTATTCTTGAACACTGGAAACCAGGATTTTTTTAATATGTTTTTTCTTTTAATTTTAATTTTTAAAAAAAATCAGCGATAAGGAAAACAGTGTTGAAATTAGCCAAAATTGACTTTGACATTGCTGGGTCAAAGGCCAGCCAGCCGACAATACCAAGCTGCCATCACCTTGTAAAAAAATCACATTTTTTTTTTAAATCTATGTTTGAACAATGGCTTGATGTATTTTTGTTTTTTTTACACCTTTTGAGCAGAGTGATGGCAACAACACTTAAGGATAGAACCGAAAATAGTTTATTTGAAATAAGAAATTCACATAAAATTGAAATAAAGTCGACTCACTGAAAACTGAAACCTGTAAAACAACTTCAAAAAATTGAAATTGCAATGAAATATGTAAATGAAATAAATGGTACTTTTAAAAATGTAGTAATGTTGATCGTGAAAATGGCTTAGGATGATGTTCAATTTTTTTTAATGAGTAAAAAACGCTAATTCAAAATGCTCAGCATGTGTTTCGCACGAAGAATTTGCAATTATGTAATGGACGTTCAGCGGAGAACGCTTACGCTCAAGCTACGTGACGTTTTATTGCTTGTGACCTTCCGTACTTTTTAATTACAACCATTTTAAT